GGGGGAAGCGTTGAAGAGGGCGGCTGCGGTTGCCATCCCGCTGCCGTGCCGTGGCCCAGGCCTCCCTGGAACCCAAAGCCCATCAGCCGGCTCCGAGCTGATAATCCAAAGTACACCTCAACGCGCTGTTTCGTGCTGGGATTCGCGCTCTGTGGTGGTTTGTTCCCCAGGCCATGCCGCCACGGAAGGGACACCATAAAAACCCCCCTAGGCATTACAATACAATTGAAAAAAACAATTTCTGTGAGCGGCCTTCCAGCAATCGCCAAACAAAGCTCCAGATCTAATCTGATGGTCTGACTCCATACACTGATATGCATATTTAACTTAATTACTGCTGTCTTTAGCTTATCTTTTTCATTCCAAATTTATCCCTCGTCATTGTACCACATAAGCTGTTGTCCCTGGCGGAGTTTATTTAAGCGGGCTGTTCAGAGCTGTCACTGAGCTCAGCACTTAGGCTTCTAGCATTCATAAAGTGCGGGCGAGCGCTGCTTAGTTACAGGATCCTGAGCCTTGGCTCGCAGTTTTGACTCATCCGGAATTAAACGATGACTGGACCAATAATTACAGAGCGCGCTCCGCTGCTGTTCCTTACTGCATCGCACCTGCTTTGGTATTTATTGTATGTGCTTCCTGGCTGAAGAGTTGAATCAGGCATTCTTCTCCAAGCTGTTGCCAAGCCAGTTTGTTCTCTTATCCAAGTAGTTTCCCACTTCTTATTTACAATTTGGCTTACCATTGTGATTTCATGGAATATTACCTGCTATTGAATTCTCCCAAATAAAACTGTTTCTTACTGTGGAGGGCTCCAGTGGTTGCTAGTCAACTCCTATGGTCAGAATGATGATTGCATTATTTTGCACTGCTTAGTTGTTCCTGACAAAACAATTGAGAAGTGAGAGGTTGTTAGGTTGTAGCTGAAGTTAATTGATACATCTGCTTGCTAGGACTTGTAACAGTTGTGGGACTGTGGAAGGTGAGAGCAAAGAGAAATGTAGTATGGAAAGACAATCAGCAGAACAACGATGTGCAGATATGACTGAAAAATAGACAATGAGAAATACTGGACAAAAAAGGGAGTGGGTGGCCCAGCTGAGTGCGAACTCTTCCTACGCCCCTAAGAAGCCCTGTTAAAAGTCTGGTTTGTATGCAGAGCTGCAGGGGTTTTAACCTCTCTTTCCGTCCTCCTGCCTTTCCACTAACATCCCTTCTTTGTGGGAAATGGTTGCCTTTACCTTCAGGTGTGGTCTGACTCCTACATATTACTCTCTGAAAAATCTATTTCATACCTTTCAGACCTGAAGAAAGATTTTGTGCCAAAAGCTTGTCTATGGTTCTCAGCTATGCCTGTGTTGGCCTAACTACCCTGCAGGCCTTCTCTTTGTAATTTTGCAATGATGAAAGCTTTACCATATCCATCCAACTTTGGTGAAGATTCATTGCTATTGAAAGGTACTCGTTATTTATAGATACTCTCTCTGCTATTTCCATATGGAAAGAGAAACAGACTGTGTAAGTCATCAGTACACCAGTAGAGCTACATCCACGCTGGGGGCTATTTGCTGCTGCTTCTTCCAGGGTTGGCGTTTCCCCCTGCCCACTGTCACCACCCTGGGGACCCTAGCTTCTCTTGCCATGCCAGCTTGTCATCTCACGGTCACAAACTGCTCCTCCAGAGCTCATGTCTCATTCCACTTTTGGAGGAACTGCTCCCCTCACCCCCCCAATCTTGACCAAGTCTGGAGCTCAGTTAAATCTGGGGTTTGTTGTCAGCCATCTGAATAAACAAACAAGTGAGGCTGTATACAGGAATCAAACAGCAAGTAGTTAGCTAAGTGGTTTAAGGTAACCTAACTCCACAGTGTGGTGGAAAGAGGCAGTTGTGCCCTCCTGTTTGGCTGAGTGTTGCCATTCCCACCTGGTTTGGGGAGCTGATCCATCTGGAAAGTTGGGGGTTTTTTTTATTTTATTTTTTTTTACAAGGTTAATTATGAGATCGGACAGGTTCCTGCATCCTGTAGAACATGTGGCTGAACAAATGCGAGCGCTGTTACTGAATCCAAAGGCTCTGAGGTACATCTGCCTCTAATCACTCCCATATGCATTCTTTCATATGTTCTGGTATTCGTTATGGTTTCCTATCATGTGCTAATTGATTCATTACTTTATGCTAAGCATACAGTCACATGCTAGTCATTAGCAGTCCCATATGTTGAACTCATGATGTATATCTTTAAATGCTGTATCTCCTAGTCTGCCAATCCTCTTTTATGCAATACCACACATATGTTGCAGACCTTCATTTATGCTTTGATGGATTTTCAACTTCCTGCTCGTTAGTCTTGTATGTAATTCTTCAGTTATGCTCTGGAGCTCCTCCTTATTGCAGTTGTGTAACGACTCTAATTAGGACTGATGATCCCTAGATCTGTGCTTTAGCCTGGGTACTACAATGTGTTTGACAGGGGAAGGAAAGAGTTTTGAAACATCCTGTGACATATTTGAAACATCTAGCATAGTAACATCAGTATAAACCCATGTTCAGATGAAGTTATGTTATACCACGGAAGTTTTGCACGAGTTAAAACTCCGTAACTGCCTCAGAAAATGGGACTCTGGAAAAGCACATGTAGCTGGTAGGAGGCCAAGTGAGTTCCTTAAGTCTTGCTGGTGAGGAAGTTAACTCATCAGAAGAAATGAGTGGGAAAAAATGGAAAGAAGGGTGTATCACTCTTACAATCCCAACCTGCAGAGTTTCAGAATAAACAAGGAATCTAGAGCTGCATTGAGTTTTAAAGTTTTATAGGAAGAAGACAGACTACTTACGGTATTATTACTCTCACGTAGCATGCCACAAGGTTTGCCAGAAACAGGTTGACTTGAACACACTTGGGTGCAAAAAAAAAAGATACTGATTTCTCCAGAGTTCTATCTGCTTTACGTTTGAGGTGAATGAGTACAGAATTTAATTATTTGTACCTGTAGTCCCAATGTGATGCTGTTTTAGGTCATATCATAGTCTATAAATGCCCAGCATCAGCATGGTATAGAATGATCTGTGGAGTTCAGACCATCCTTATTTCATAGTCTGTTTATTGCTGGAACTACTGGCCTGGGGGAAAATAGCTGCACCCCCCAGGCTCTTATCGTCCAAGCCCTGAATGAAGCAGCTGAAAGTCCTGTTGCACGCAGATAAGAAACTGTCAAGTAAAGAGGCTGGGAGTGAGATATGGGTAAAAAGTGGCTCTCCAAGCAAAAACTAGTGCTTAAGCTCAGGACGTGATGGGCCAGCATGCAATCCCTGTAGGAAGGGGGAAAAACAGTCTTGAGTAAGAGCTTGTGTAACACCTGGCCTGGGCTTTCCTAGTGGCTGCTGCCTGTATACTGCCTGCTTGGGGGAAGCCGGGCACAGAATGATTTCTTTTCCGCTTGGCACTGCTGAAACTCCCCATTTCCTGAGCAGGGACTCAGCCTGCAGCGTACACCCTGTGGATGCAGCTGGGTGGACGCGATCACTGCTGATGTACCAGTGTCTGCAAGCCATTGGCATGACTGGGCTCTGGGGAGCACCTGGCTGGGGTGACCGCTGTGTGGGCTTAACCAGGGGTCTTCCACAGGTCCCCCGGGAGGGGCCAGCCCCTTGCTAGCCATGTGCTTGGTGTTTTCTGGGCGAAAGCTCCCAGCCTCAGTACCCGTACCAGCTTTCCTGCTGCTGCAGCTGCTTCTGGCTATAGCCCGCCCCTATAGTGTCCTTATTGGATTCCTGGCCAAGGGGGTGTTGCTGCAATGATAGCAGCGGGGCGAGCGGTGCATTGATATGCTGGAGCTGCAGCGTGTTGTATAAGAAGGAGCTGCAGGGCTGCAGGGCGCGGAGGAGAGTTAAACAGGATCACGTTTCTCCTCTGTGAGCTGAAGAGGTTAGTGACTATTACTTAATCCCTGCTAACTGTAATTAGGATTTGGAAGCACCGCTTTCGTCTTCTGACACCCCTCTCCACCCTTCCCAAGATTGCTTGCCATCAGCGTCTCCCCCTCGGTTGTGAAGGAGCGGGAGGGGGGGGGGGGTCCTGCAAGCCACGTTGCCCTAGCTGGCCCG